TAGCTGTAAAGCAAGTATCGCTTGTATAATCTTTATCATATATTTCACATATTGATTGCGCAAATTGTTTATACGTACGTGGCCTTTTTATTATGTTACACTATATCATTATGAAGTTAAAAATATCAAAAGTGGTTTATGCAAAAACTTCAAACTGAAGTGGGTACTTAATTTCACAGCCTAATTAATATCATTAGTCGAGCAGTTAATTAAGGAACGTAATACAGCAATTATAAAGATCGCTCTAGTGGGCGATCAGTCTATGGAACAGTGATTCTCTGTAATGCGCGTTGGTTTGTAAAGTATTCTTAAAGGAATAAGCTTGTTATCTAGAAGTGATGTGAATAAGATAGAATAAGACAACAAATTTGCATCATATGTTCATATCAAAATTGATATATATATGTATACATAATATTGGATATATTTATACATAATATTGGATGTATATATATATATATATACATATACGTCCAATATTATGTATAAATTGATTTGATTGAATAATTCTATAACACATAGTAAAAGTTGACAAAATTGTTGAAGGGCCAATATAATTATATCACATTCTTCTAAAAATACGTAACATAGTTTCTTAAATACGCTTCATCGCGAGCACTTCGATTATCTATTTTTAGAAAAATGCACACACTTATATATGGGAGACAATTTAGAGCAATTAAGACTTTTTAGCCCGTTAACTTTATGAGCTTCCCTTACTTTCATCGTTTCTTGTTTAATTTTGTCAATCTGTGACATATATGGAGAGGATTTAAACGAATAATAGTTGTGTTCTATAATTGAATCATAGAATCTTGTTAGCTCGATTTATTTTGCCATTTAGAAATCTATCTTTAAATAGATCTCAATGATAAAAGGCATTGTTGAAATAAAATTTGTTCTTGGAAAATTTTTACAAATAAAATTACATTCTTCGCGCGTTACGCTTAAAAAGATTGCAATCTAGTGCAGATTTGCAGAGAGATCAATGCGACTGCAGGAATGCAGAAAAATATATGCTCTAATTACCGCGAGAACTTCATACATTTATTGAGGATAACACTATAAACAGTAAATGCCAGTTATAATTGGCATACATTAAAGAGTAATTAAGTCTTTTATTTAAAAAAGATATATAGATACATATTTCTCTAAACTTTTAAAGAATAAGAAACGCACGAAAGGAATGCTATTTATTGAAATTCTATTTCTTTTCATATTACGTAGTGATGACAAACCACAATTGTAATACTTGTATTATTCTGTTGTACTATATCAAGAGCGAAACATACTTTTAAACATTTTTATTTATATTATTTATGCGCACGTTATTTTTAATGTTAAATTGTGCTATGTTAACTATGTTATATATAAAAGTTATATATTATATGTTTGCAGATTATATTCTCGTTATTAATACATTCACTGTGTAATTTACAAATTTATAAACAGGTTTTACCAAAATCAGTCAACTTGTAAATCTTCTTTTTAACAATAAGCGAAAGTATTCTTTCTATGTCTATCAATGTAAAGGAAATCTATTAGTGTTAAGTCAATTTATGAAATGTTATTGTTCATTTTTCTGAAGTCGTCGCATGAAAAGAGATACGTGTGTGCGTGGATCTGTGGGCGGAAGGAGGGGAGCTCATATAAAGCAACTCTTCTAGGAAGAAACGCAATGCTTCAGAAGCCAATGTCACGCGAGAACGTTGTACCATCTAGTCTCTCGGTTGTTCTATTTATTTATCTACTGTAAGAAAAATTCACGTTCTGCTTCGACATTGCTAAAATCATCCGCTTAATATTATTCTAAAATGTGTGACGACGACGTAGCTGCGTTGGTGATTGACAATGGATCGGGAATGTGCAAAGCCGGGTTTGCCGGGGATGACGCACCTCGAGCCGTGTTTCCCTCCATCGTTGGAAGACCCCGGTATCAGGTATGGAAAATATATAGATATCCGATAGATAATTATAAATTTACTTAATTATAAATTTTACTTAATTAAGCATGGTATATTTTAATCAAGAATTATTTTTAGGGCATTATGGTCGGCATGGGACAAAAGGATAGTTACGTAGGCGACGAGGCTCAAAGTAAACGGGGAGTTCTCACTGTTAAATATCCTATAGAACACGGTATCGTCACCAATTGGGACGACATGGAGAAGATCTGGCATCATACATTTTACAACGAGTTGAGAGTCGCGCCGGAGGAGCATCCCGTTTTGTTGACGGAAGCTCCCCTGAACCCTAAGGCCAACCGCGAGAAAATGACGCAGATCATGTTCGAGACCTTCAACACTCCGGCTATGTATGTTGCCATTCAGGCTGTCCTGTCTTTGTATGCGTCAGGACGTACGACTGGTATAGTGCTGGATAGCGGCGATGGGGTATCTCATACAGTACCGATTTACGAAGGTATTATTTCTCCCTGCTCGCTTCAATTTCTCATGATATACTCGTTGGTGCCTTGCGATCTAAAAATCAGGATCAATGTCAATTGTGTGCTTGATTGTTTCAATGTATTTTTTTCTTTTTTCTTCAGGATACGCCTTACCTCATGCGATTTTGCGCTTGGATCTGGCCGGCCGCGATTTGACCGATTACTTGATGAAAATTCTGACCGAGAGAGGCTACACCTTTACAACTACCGCCGAACGTGAAATCGTGCGTGACATCAAGGAGAAGCTGTGTTACGTGGCCTTAGACTTCCAGCACGAAATGGCGACAGCTGCCGCATCGACTGCATTAGAGAAGAGCTACGAGTTACCGGACGGCCAGGTAATCCTTTGGTTACTTACGTTATTTATTATTGCCTACGAATGCACCGTTTACGTATTTTGTATAATCAACGCGAAAGGAAGACTTCTCGATAGTGAAAACTGTATCTTTTAAATTGCGCTTGTAAAAATCCAAGATCTTTTGAGAAAGACCCAGAATTTCAACAATTATACTGAAATTTTTAAATTAAGCCTCTAACTTTACAGAGCTAATTTAAGTTAACTCGAAAATGATGTCTGAATTATAGATACAAAGAAATATAGATAGCTATATGTAATCTGAATGTAATGAACGACGATAAGGAGGTAGTGTACGCTCATTAGCATTAATCGCGCGCATTTGCGTCGAGCGAGTGTTAACTCGTCATGGGTTGGCTAGCCGCGCGGTCAGTGGACGAAGACGTAACGGATAACGGTTTGATTCCAGGTCATCACAATCGGCAACGAGCGCTTCCGTTGCCCGGAAGCAATGTTCCAGCCGAGCTTCCTGGGTATGGAATCCTGCGGCATACACGAGACGACGTACAATTCGATCATGAAGTGCGACGTCGATATCCGCAAGGATTTGTACGCTAATTCGGTGCTCTCGGGCGGCACTACCATGTATCCGGGCATCGCCGATCGGATGCAGAAGGAGATAACGACCCTCGCACCGCCCACCATGAAGATCAAAGTAATCGCGCCGCCCGAAAGGAAATACTCGGTGTGGATTGGCGGCTCGATCCTCGCCAGTCTGAGCACGTTCCAACAAATGTGGATCTCTAGGCAGGAGTATGACGAGTTAGGACCGTTCATTGTGCACAGAAAGTGCTTTTGAGATGCCATCATCCAGAACGCTTCTCAACCGATATTAATCTTTAGTGGACCGTATGCAAAATAACTGAAACAATATTTATTTTCTGAGTAATAATTTATTACTTCCTGAGTAATAATTTTCTTGTTATATGTTTCCTCACCCTTCACGCTTCTTGAAAAATTTTTACTCGCCAATAGTTTTTTTATCCTTGATCTTTTCCTTGATAGATGGACTTTTTTTAGCATTGATTCGCAACGAGTGAATGCTACGTCTAATTATCGTCGATTCTCGTTTCATTGCATTCGCACGTGCGAATTTTACAGATGAATATTTTTATTGCTTTAAACGTTTGAATCTAGGAATTTGTGCACATTCAATGAAGCCATTGATTCGTCAATGTCCTTTTTTATTTCTAAAATGTACTCGATGTCATATTACATAGCAGGACGTATAAGGCGGATGTGACATTGGAGAGTTCTCCCTACGTCCCTCTTAGAAACTTTCATACAACTTTTGACACACAGTACATCTGCCGACATAACAAAATTCTCTTTGTTGACGCATATACATTAGAAAATAATAATTTACATATTTTTTCTCATAGAATGTTATGTGTCGCATATATTTATAAATGTACTAAGAACTCAATCAGTAATTCCACAGCTAGAAAAGTTGTCATTTACAGGATATTGATAATTACATATCATCGTAATTACGTAGCATCGAATGCTGTTTTGTTCATGAAATTCTATTAATTTTCATGGACGGTTAATATATTATCTTACAGAATATATATATGTATATATATATATTCCTTAAAAAGTAGAACGTAAAAAAATCTATTTCTAAAGAAAAATATATACAATTTTCATTTTCATTCATTCAAGATAAATTATTATGGATCAGACATCTTAAAAAATTATCTGATATCCACAGCAGATTGAAATATGCGAAAATAATATATCGTTATTTGCTTCAACCATCATTTGCGTCGATCCCTTTTATTCATAAGAGTACAGAGTTTCGTAACGCAAATAAAATCGAAATTATCACAAATCGTCTCGGATAGGATGCAGTGTCAGAATTCGGTACATATATGTATACATAGATATAGTTTTGTATTATGACAAAACCGTAAAGTAATTAATAACAGATATATCAATATTTGGAGATACGCACGAGAAATTCGTGAAAAAATGAACATACATATAATTTCATTTACCAAATATATAATGCGCATCAAAGTATAGTTAACTTTAAATTTAATTGAATTGATTGTGCTAGAAAACGTGGTACTCAACTTGTACCTCGAATCGATAAAATTGGACTATTAGTCGTGATATCAATGACTATACAAATTGTTTACGATGTCGAAAGTTCTCCGCCTGTCTCTCGGATTTTGACATCCAGCATGCAATATGCGTGGAAGCAGGAGTAGCAGACGCTATTACACCGAGGTCACTTATAACAATCTTATTTGTAATTTAATAAGTGTACAACATAGATTGTATCAAAGGCGATCCATTTTCGTTTACAGATTTTCTTGAATGTTTCCTTAGCGAAAAGTTTATGAAAGTTATTCCATTAGGCCATCAAATTTTCGCAAAAGAGAATGTCAATTTCACCCAATAATCTGTTAGTGAGAGGAAGCGCACATTTTCTGAAACATTCTATACTATACATTTGTACTGTAAATTTTAGAGTTAACCAAACGCACGTTTTGCGACAACGCTTAATTGTTCAAGAATATCATCCTTTGATGTTAAATTATTAAAAAATGCAAAATTTATAAAATATTAAGAAGGGCTACACAAGATAAAAAAAAAATCATATTCTTCCGTTATGTAACATTGTTTTATAACATATTTTTACGAAGTGTATATTATCAATAGACATGGTTTCATTAATCAATTTTTATAATTTATAGCAAAGAATGTATTCAGTTACAAAATAATATAAAGTGCTCCACATATCTGTAGCGTTCAAAAAAAGTTTTGCAAATATCGTCAACTCACTGAAAATGACACGGAAGTATGGTCTATAGTTGAAAAAATATTCAACATGTCGAATTAATATTTCGTTACGTTGTGATACAGTTACATAAATAAAATGACCAACACCGAGTACAAAATGTAAATAGGATAGATGTATCAAACAAGTATTGTCAATGAATTTACTTAAATAAAAATGTAGAAAAAATAGATAAACTATACTATATTGCATATAATTAAAAAGTCAATAAAAATATCTTTGGTGCCCCTATTTCGCAACGAAAAACACTGTTTTAATTATGGCGTGAGAGGGAGCAATAGTATTTTCAAGAGTTTAAAACCGACGATACCGATAAAATCAGTTCTGTCCACTTTTATAAAAAAAAAAAAATTGTATATCTCCTAAACTTTTCTTCTACATGTAGATTTTCTTCTACCCGTTGAACGTTTAGGACGTCGACATTTTATTCGTGTTATATTTGACCAAGGTAAAGAAAATTCACTGAAAGATAAAGGTTATGCTGATTATAATATTTAATGTATCAACTACATAAGATCTGTACGTTTAAAGAAATAGACCCCCTTACCTTGGAGTGAAACTAGGAATAGGAGCGCCAAATGCAGTTACTGGCAAATGAGAATCTACTTGGAGACTTTGAATTTGTTCTATGTCAGGCCACAAGGACGTTATAGTTTCCTCCTCCATGGACGAGGGACAAGGACCAGTATGATTGGTATTGTAGCACGTAGCTTGATGATTTTGACGCTCCTGTCGTTGTTTTAACTTCTCTATATGTCTTTGTTCCCTAATATAATAAAATATGTCAGTTAAATTGTAACTGTCTCAAAGAGACGGACGTCGAGCATATTTTACGAACCTTATCCTTTGTACATCCCACCGCTTTCTCCTCCTCTCGTCATTCTCTAATTTCAAGTGTCTCTTATTAAAAATTTCATCATCCAAATTCTCAGTTCCCTCCATTGTATAACAACTCGTATACATTTTTACTCTCCAGTTTGGAACTTCTAACGAATTACTCGGTTCTACTGGGCTAGACTGTTTAAAATGTAACGTATAAGCTGGGTCTCCTACAGCTGTATAGTAGTGTTCCTCCGTCGTGAGAAAGGATTCCTTCTTCACGAGAGATTTCGCCTTTTTGTCGCTCTTTCTATTGGTTTCGTGCAAAGTCTGACCTAATATCTTTTCTTGCACTCCGTCGTTACTTATGGTGGACGAGCAGGAGAGCCCCCTTTTCTTTTTACTCCCCGTAGACAAGGGAGTCGGGTCCGATCGTCTCTTCTTTTTCTCTTCCCACTCGAACCTCGTCTCGTTATCAACCTCTTGCTTTATCTCCAGTTTAATTTGATTATCGTGCGGTTCTTGCTTGACGGTGGTGATGCCGCCGCTAGTGTTGAGGCGTATCTTGAAGCTCTCGTGCAGGGTATTGCTACCCTCGCACTGAACATTCCTGTGGAGTTCGCTGGTCGAAGGTACGTTGACCGAATTGACACTGGTGGGCGAGCAGGCGCCTAAATGTTCTGAACCGGTAGAATTTTCGCTACACTCGGATCTCAGCTTCTGAAGGCTCACCCGCCTTTCCATACGCTCCAAACGCAGTTTCAGCTGTAACAGACAAATACAAACCCCATTTCCATGGTTTGACACGATTGACACGATAACCTAATAAATAGTCTCGCGATCGTTTTTTACACGCGTTTTAAACTTTAAACGTTATTTACACTTCTCGTGTACCGTCCGTACACGATCTTTCTCTCCTCGCAAATCATGTTAAATCGAAGGTCCGTGCCTGGACCTGGACCTGGACACCGTGGACCGTGAACGTCCCTCAATTATCCTCAGGTACCCTCGCGCCTGAAGGGAGGTTAGTCCGATAGACTCGCGCCGTTAACGAACGTATCGCTCGCAGGTGCACAATTCGAGAAACTGGACTGACCCGCGACAATCCGCACCGGTTTCCCGACCGCGATCGGCGATATACTTATTTATTTAGCCGCGCGGCGCGATCGCGGTTTCCCCCTCGATTCAACTGTCATTTTCAAACCGCGAAAACGCGCAGAACGTCGTCGCTCTCCGCGGAGGAACTCGCACGCACAAACTCGCAGCTCGCACGTCCCTCACCCTCGTCCAATGCTCACACTCTCAATCACACACACGCACACATTCTCTCTTTCTTTCTTTCTCTTTCTCTCTCTCTCTCTCCTCGCGGACTCAATGCGGAAGTAGCGCCACCACATGTTGACATCGCGCAAGCTGACCTTCACGGTTAACTTGTTCCCCGCGTGGTACGCTTAGGTTAGGCGGGCCGCGCGGGAGGGAGAACGGAGCAGAACGACGAAGGCGGGATTGACACTCGCGGCTCGCATCACGGGCATGTGCGCGCACTGCGCAGCGCGTTTTTACAAAATGGTGCCAAAGTCATCGATGTCGGATCGCCGGCGTTCCGCGGCCACGGCCAGAAAAAGAGCGGGATTGGCGGGCGAACGGAAATACGCGCGACGTGCTTAGGTTAGTGCGCCCGAGCCTCTATTTATCGTCAATGACGACGTCGCGAAGCGAGAGCGGGCCGCGAGCCGCTCCAAGCTGCGTCGACGTCTCTGCGACCGCAACCTTCTCTCATGATTTTTTTTCGGAAATACGCGCATAAGTAATTGTGAATGAGAGCGTGAAGGCGGAACGTCCGGAGCCCGCCGCGTCAGCGGATCCCGATATTTCTATCTCGAGAGCCTCGAGATCAAGTGGCAGCGGAACGAGAAAAGAATTATCTTTTCTCATCTCATCATCCGCGACAGGTCACTTTGCCACGGCACGAACTCTGCGCGATCCTGGCGAATGCTTTCGGCTTCACCTCCGTGGACGGTGACCGTCTCTCGGCATTTAGGCTTTCTTTCTCGAGAATCTTTCAAGTACACGTGATGCAATTGTCGCGGACGCTTACGCAAAAAATCCGCGACCGCCGCGGGCAAACGGGATTGGAGTTGGAGGACGAATCGGGTTTTGAATTGAAAACTCGCTCGATGACTCACCGCCACTCACTTCACCTCATTCCGCATCTTTCGACTTAAAAGATGAGAGCGATCGCACTTTCGAAGAGATTGAAAGGCTCCTCGCGCTAAAATAGATATCTCCATGCGTCCGTGTCGAGGGTCGAGTTCGCGGTTTACGACAACAACCAAAGAAATCGAACGAATATTTATAGGAGGTAGGTGCATTCAAAAGGATCAGCAGTCAGTTCCACTCTGCGAATACAAACATTTGGGGATCAGAGATTTAAACATTTTTCTGTGTGTTTGTTTACATCAACGTTGTCACAACCATAATTGAATCACTGAAAAAAAATCACGC